AGTTGTAGTCGCAGGTCTCAGTCGCTTGGAGGAAGAGGGGGTCCGTGGAGGAATCGTGGTGAGAAATCATGTCGGGATCCTCGTAGCTCACAAAGAACCTAGGCTTGCTGTCAATACATTTGTCTCCAAAGTAACTCACTTTCACCACCTGAAGCACTGCATGAAGTGAAATAAGTGTAGGGAAACAAAAAGGGCGAATTTCAATAAACAACAATGGAGCTGAGTAGCTAATTATCATGTGTATGGATGCGTCAGGATGCATAATTTAGGGTTTGGCTGTATAGTAGTATTTTGGAGTGATATCATGGGCTTCGCACCCGCGGATCGGTACTTTTCTGAAGTCGTGATATAACATTTGGTATCGAGCAGGTATCTTTGGTCCAACCTATGTTTGAATCTCAGCTGAAGCGGCTTCTGCTCAGCGTGAGGTGAAGGGCCCTGCGACCGCCGGTTACCGTGTGGGTTGTCGCCTTCACTCCGGGACCGTGTGGTAGACTGCCGGATGAGGACGCCAATTTTTAGTTGCTTTGCTTTGAAAAAATTCTAAAATATTTATTCGTTCTAGGTTCTTACAATTTTCCGTGCGCCTTAATTCGTAGTACATACAGAACATGCTAAGCTAAGCTTCGGCAGACAGGAAAAGAAATGCTTCACGCCGCACCTGGCACGAGGTAACTGGCACTAACACGTCGCATTGAGTAGACATTTGCGTGCATGCTGTAAGCAAGGGTGATGTAAGCGTGCGTGTGTTGTACTCTTGGCGTATCATCAGCCACTAAAACCGCAATACCTCCACCTCCAGAATAGTCCTGATATAATCCTATTACGCTGAGGAAAATGCTGACTAAGCGGTTTACGGAAATCCTGAGCAGCTCCTGAGCAGCTTTCTACTAGGTTACTACCAATCGCCGCGGCCGATTGGTATTTTTCTGTAGTCGTGATACAACAGCGTGCTGTAAGCGTGCTATGCGTACCCCCGCCTCGATACGTGTACATATCATGGATCTGTACGTACCAAACGCTCACATTGTACGCACTTGACGTTTCATTTGGCCGCTGTGGGATCTAGGTTTGATGGGTTCGTTACGTACGTCCTTGCTTGTGTCAGTGATAAGCTAAGCAACCAAGCAAGACAGGCCTACGATGTATACGAACTTCATACGTATGAAGTTTGAGGGATGGAGGCATCCTCCATATTGCATCAATACGAATCACACCTAAATCACGTATCACTTAGTATTTATGCAGCCATGCAAGTTGACAGATACGCTGAGGAGGGACCCGATCATCAACAGAGCATGTTGGAGGCCATGAAATGGGAGCCAGCACGTCTGGTGAGGATGTTGGAACGTGTGTGGGCTCACCGCAACTCAGTTATATAAACCCTTTGGGCGCTAGTCTGGGCCGATAGTGCGGTGTTTCCTTTTCTCCGTGGCTGTAAGCGTTTAGGTTTTGGCCTTGGGCCTTCGGCTCGTATGGGTAGTTTCACAGGTATGGGGTCACACACACCCCACCATGTAACATCCACACACAGACACACACACAGAGACACACACACACACAGAGACACACACACACACACAGACACACACACACAGACAGACACACACACACACACAGATACGCTGTGCTGGGGGGGGGCATGCACGCGGGTCGTACATTCACACATACCTGGCTGGAAGTTCGGAAGCAAGAAGCTCTGCGCAGAGCCCCCATTACACTCCCAGACCCGTATCGAGGCGCCATTCCTGCTGTTGGCGTCCGCGTCCACGCAGAGACTAATGTCGTACTTGGTACGGAAGATCCATCTGGACGTCGCAGTAGTCGCATCCGGTACACGAGGGCACACAATAATAATGAGGGCGCTTTAATTGACCTCTACCTATGTGTGGCTGCACACCGCTGGGTTGCTTGGACTAGTAATAGGACGGCGTAACACGTCTGTGAACTTGGCAAAATTTGTTATATCACGACTTTTTCGGGAAAAAAAGAACCGATCGGTGGATGCAGATCCCGTGATGTGCCCTCCAGGATACTACACAATTGCAAGCTCATCCGAAGTTGGTTTACCCAATTACCCACCTTCCACCTTGGGGGGTAAGCATGAACTCCTGGTTTGCGGCGGCATCAACGCATGGCATCAGGCTGACGGGGGTTCCATAGCTTGTGGGTGTACGGCCACCGACAGTCCAGCATCTTCGGATATCAGAACTGCTGGTGATGCGATAGAAGCCCCCTCCTGCAGGTGTATATATGATGGATCAATGAAGTTCGCCCTAATGAAGTTCAAAAATGAAGCCTCAAAATACATCAATCGAGATACCCCGTGCTTAATAGTAGGTGATGATACTTTGTTATGAAAGCAATACAGACAGAAAATTTATCTTGTGCATCACCAGTATTCAGGAGCTGCTCAGCTGTTCATGATGTTATTTGCGGTATGTTATGTACGCTAAAAAGTGCGCTTTGAAATAAAAAAACATATATAGCCAATAAATAGGCGTATTAAGATATTAAGACCATACTTGACTGGCAAGGTATAGCCATTAGCCGCAGAATGGTAAATTTATTGTGCTGCAACATGCAGTATGATAAATCTATCCCCGTACTTTATTGAATGTATGATAAAGATACTGATGGAAAAAAAAGAAGATTGAGCAGAGGCATTAACCCTCATGCTGTTGTAGTGGATACATGGTATAGCATTCCGGATAGTTTGAAGCATATGAGGTAAATTGAGGAGTGTCTATAGACCATCTATTCTCAGGACTACCTATTATTACACCATGGCACGACCTGTTGACCATTCTGTACACCCTTCTTACACTAGTATGAACCTATAAACGATCCATTTCTCAGTCTAACTTATTATACGAAGAAAAAAAACCCTGCCTATAGACCATAAAAAGATACAGATGGAGTGCCGTACACTCATCGCTCAATTACCTGTGGCCAGGAAAAAGAAGTCGTTCGGCCCTGATGGTGGATTAGTTATGCCGCAGTCGTACTGCAGCAGGTTTAGGTCCAAGCGAGTGTCGTTGTACGGCAAGCCGCCATTGGGCACTGTGACACACTTGTTGGAGTCGGTGCTGGTTAGCACCTTTTGCTTAGGCATCGCCAGTGCTGCGGGAGGTGCAGGAGGAAGAGGAGGAGGACATGCATGGAGTCACGAGTAGGTTTGTGCATGTGGATGTTACATGTGCGGCGAGGAGAGTTATACCACGACTTGAGGAAAGTTCCGATCGGCGAATGCAGTTCCCGTTTACACCCACAGGCTACTACAAGGAGCTATCCACAGCTGAATGCCCTTCATACCCGTCCTTGAGACAACGGCACACACCTGGCTGGAAGTTGGGCAATGAGAAGCGCTGCCTGCTTGTGCGGTCCGTTTCCATCTTTCCGCCGTCGCAGACCCGGAATTCCAACGGTTGTTCCTCTTGTGCACCAAGAGGGGACGTGCTCAGACACATCGTTGGGGTGATCCGCGGCCTAATCGTCCACCTGTGGGGATGAACATGTCGTATGTAATATTGTAACTTTTATCTATAATATGATGTACATGTCTTCGCAAATATGTATGCACGTCATGGAGCAGATGGATGGGATTTATGGCTGGATGTGCGTGTAGTAGCTGGCCCCTGAAAAGGCCTCTCGAGATGCTGGTGGTCGCGCTTCGCGCGTATTTGTAGAGCCGTACTGTGTACCAGCTACTACAGTGCGTGTGCTAGCTAAATGGGACAGCGCTGTCCCAAAGCTTCTCCACTCCATCAATTCCGACGCGGCCCTAGTTTTGAATCCTCCCCTTAAGGGGGGGATTTAAAAGCAAGCTTGCGTATTACCAGTTCCATGGAAGAGGACATCCAAATGCATGCAACAGTATAACAAGCATGCTGTATGTGTATACGTACACAGTTACGCAGGGTCGAGATTTCTTGCATCAGGCTAACATAACAACACTTTGGTCATGTCCACGTAAATACGTATTTATGTAAACCTAATTATGTGTGCACGCACCAGGGGCCCGGAAGCGGATTCAGGAAGAATTCCTGCGTAAAACTACCCTCCATGCATGGTGACATGTATATGGGCTCAGTATCGGGGAATGACCCTTCAAGGATTGTTACACATAGCCCAGTCGCCTCCGATGTAATCCGGTAGTAACCACCACCTGCATGCATGGGTGAGCCGCCAGGAAGGACGTACAGGCAGGTCGACTGTTAGGGGAGCGAATGTTGTAGTAGCTGGTACACAGTACGGCTCTACATAACGCGCGAAGCGCGACCACCAGCATCTAGAGAGTTTTCAGCGGCCAGCTACTACAAATGTAGACAGCAATTGCGAGTGAAAACAAGACGAAGGCCGCACTCCATACGTACATGACGTACGTTATGTACGTATGTACGTCATGTACATATGGAGCCGCGAGTTGCTTGTCTGTCGTGCCCTGGTATATTAGGTATAGGGACCGTCCATTTTCTTATACCAGGCTGCGATCTATCGATAGCTAGACGTGTAGTGTTTTTACGGACGACTCTTATCTACATACATGCCGACTACGACAGGTCCGCCGTGCTTCGAAAGTTACACCCGTCACGCGGCGGCAGCAGACGGACCGAAATAGATTACATCTGCATGAATGAGGCCGGTGAAGCAAGAGTTAATTACATTTATACTTATTGGATTTTGTTCTTCTTACCAGTATGAAGAAGGGTGAAGTGATGCAAATTGCTATTCGCGCTGCAGGCTACTTGTCCCAAAACAGTCGGCCTTGTAGTTATATAGGTCAATATTACCGGAGCCAGGCACGTAGGAGGATTTGTGTTGGCCTGGATAACTTGGGCACCTGCCGGGGATTGAAGCACGTGAGAGGGTGTTGGACGAGCGGGGACAGTGCGGGGGGAGCGGGATCCTTGAGACGCCTGGCTGGGGTCCATATGCAAAGAGATATGTACAAATATACATACAATAATAAATCTGGGTTCTATCTATTTCTATATCTGTATGCGTGCGCCTGCTGTTTGTATGCACTGCTGACACACATGGAATGTGCTGATTGCATACAATCAGCTATAACGGCGTGTGTTTATCAGTACTATATAATTTTTACTATCATTAATCACGTGCAATAACACCTCTCTACTCATTCTAGGCATTATTACAAGGCACGCCAGATTACTACCGGGGGGTTGCATACCAATCAATCTTCCAATAACCCGACAGGCCCTAGGGTTGGGCTGGAGCGGCAGAGCACGTACTTATGCCCCCCGAGACTCAGGGATCAAGATCCGTCAAGGTCGGAAAATCCTTCTGATATATCACCATCGATGGTGGTAAGGTAAAAGTGCCCCTAGTCGATGACCTGGGATAAAGTTAACCTGCGAGCTGACCAGGGATGGAGTTGAGCCGCCGTCAATCCGGCAGATTCCGTTGGATGCCGGTGGTGGGTGCGGAATCTGAGCGATCCACTGAGAAGTTGGCAAGGGTGACAGGATGAGGGTGCCCCGAAATACCGTGGAAGGCGGGGTCTGCCGGGTAGCGGCCGCAGGGTGAAGATATGACACTCCTGCAACCCCCTGCCCCCCTATATATATACATATATATGTATATCGACTTACCAATAGGGATGGAGGCTGGATACGGTGGGGGAGGTGGAGGGGGTGGAGGGTTTGGGTAAGGGGGCTTATTTCCATCATTAGTTCCATGATCCTCGCCTGTTCATGAGGACGGTATGTAAGACATAATAAGGGTAGGAAGGACAAATCAGGAAATAGGACGAATAAGCCAACAAAAAGGAACACTGATGAGAGCGCTAATAAGGGCGTGAAAGCCGACATAACCCATCCATGCATTAGATGCCTTGGAGTACAAATAGTTAATACCCCGTACGTCTGCTGTAAGTTAGTAATACCTATGGTCTATAGAATGCGTGTGCGATGTCCCTACACGGTTAATAGCCTCCCTAAAATGTTTTGGTTTTCTATAGATCGCACCCGCCTGATACAATAGGATGGCGGGTCTCTATCTGATAGATCAGGGCGCAATCTAAAAGACGAATAACAAAAACGTTTACATACGAAAATCATTTTTTGGTATTTCGTCTGTAACTGTATCGTCTTTAGGTCGTGCCGTAGCATATTAGATAGGAACCGTCCCCAGCTAGCTTATCAGGGTTAATTCGATGGTTGATTCGAGCGACGGATCGGACGCCACTCCGTCGGTGGGGTGAATAGTACCTTACGGCGACCCTGGAAGACCCAAGCAAGCAGGGTCGGGGTCCTTTTCGTGTTGATATGATGCGCCTCATTCCTTCGGCGGAGAATGTGTTCATAGAAAAAGTGTTTTTTTGTACGGCGGTAATTGTGATAACCGTATACTTTCTTGCTGTTGCTGCTGAATGTACTTCAGCGGTACATCTTGGTACCAGAAGAGATTATGTGACTAATACAAGTCAGGAAATACATATATTCTTTGCTTGTTCATAACAATGAAACCGACAAGCAAACTTTGAGCAATATCAGACGTCGCTGCGTAGACGCGTAGTAATGGGAAATGGCCGTGGCGCATCGGCGGCGGCAGCAGCAGAAGTGCGGCTAAAAATTGCCTACTTGTGAACGCGATCAATCATGAAATTGTCCGTAATAGGACTTCCAATATCTCCTGAATTGGACTGCATGTGACCACATCCTCATTACACCAACTAACTATCGCGCAGCAGATAGACATCTGAGCTCCAGCAGGTCCAGACGAAGCAAGGGGGCGAAAAAAGCAGGCGCAAGCACGGCGGTCGGCGTATGCATGACAGCAACTAGGCCGTTATAACTGTCCTCGCCCCAAATCCCGTCAAGGAAAGTCTGAACCTTTAAGCAGAATTTCCACTGATATGGTCAGTTTGAGGGCGTAGCAAATAAAAGGACTGGAAAGGCGCCGCGAAATGCAGGACCACGCACCCAACGTATCCGTCCACAGCCAGCAGCAGCGGCAACAGCCGCCGCCTAGCTCTTCATGTATACGTAAATCTTTGAGGAAAATTTAAACAGCCACAAAGCTTAAATAGTTGCTGAAATTTTACCTCCGCATCAACTATAACGATTTAATTTTAATTTAGGGAGCTCCCCTTACCATGGCTAGCACAAAGGTGGAAAAGGGCAAATCCAGCCACCGCCAGGAGATTGAGGTAGATATGCAGATTGCATCTGCTTCTCGTCACCATTCTTGAACTGTATTTTGTTGTGCGGAGGGGGAACAGCGCAATTAGGCAAGGGGAGGACAGAAATAATGGGCAAGAGCCATCGAAGGGCCGAGGCGGAGGGCCATCGCAATCGACAAGATGGACAAGCTCGGTATAGTAAAATGCATTCATAATGAGGAAATCTTTCTTTAAGCTTACCAGGCGATATTCATCCAGCAGGACGAGTGCTGGAGATTGGGCGCCAGCAAACTTTAATTAATGGCCGTCTTCAATTCGCATCACGAAATTTTATGACATGTAAAGTTTAAGTCAAGTAAATTGTCTCATGTGGATTTGTGCTGACGTACAGCCTGAAGCTCTGTCGTCCAGTGCTGAATCTGCGTCCGACTGGCGGGCGCTCACGCACTGAGCAAAGGCCAAAGCATGATAAATTACATGCAAAGCAAAAATCAAAATCATTCATGTGGCCTACCCAGCAGTTCCTGTTTTTCCCCTTACTCACTACATGCCTCAACAGGAAACGCGCGTATGCAACGTATGCACAAGGGTCACCAACCGGCGGGCAGCAAGTAAGGCCTCGCTGGTCTGCTGCTATGCTAAGAACTTAGAACACAGTCCAATAATGTCCAAGCGATGCGAATCTAAATCCTCATATCGTTCCAAATATGAGGCAAGAATATAATTCGAGTCGGAGCTCTCAAAGAAGCTTGCCAAAGAAAAGCGTCAGGGTGCCGGTAGGTGCGGACGCGCCCGAGCGCCATAAAACTCCGGCCATCCCATGGCCAAGAAAGAAAGAGAACCTTCGGGTATGGGTCGTGGCATGCATGATGCTACTCGCAGTAATGATGCTACTCTCTAGCTAGCGCCTGCTAGCGCAAGTCCGCGGCCGACAACATGGCGCGCGTGCTTTACCATTTCCGTCACGTAGCTGCACAATAAGTCTGACATGGTTACCTACTTGCCTGTTTAAGCCTTTTGCCGAACTGCCCAGATGTCGGGGAAAGTAGTGCGGTGCTCGCTAGTACGCGAAAGTGGGACAAAAACATCGCAACGAGGGCGGGCGGGCAGCGCCTTCTCCAAATGGACGATGGCCGACTCCGAGGCATACACTGCTGGGGAATGGATGGAGGAGGTTCAGCCTTGGCGTGGATAGAGATGAGATATCTATCGATAGACAGCCAAGGCGACATGCCGTGATAGACTTCCAAGGGTTGGAATTACCAGGCCGGCCCCCGAAGCAGGACATTCCAAATTTCCATGCGACGGATTTTTGGAAATCGATTGCGCCCCTACATATTCCCAGCTACCTATTGGTGCCCTTACAGCTTCCGTCGCCGCATGAGCGAGCCCTATCAGTGCAGCTTCCCGCGCCAGAAAGATGCGATGCAAATGGGCGAAGTGTCGTGACCATTATTGACACCACAGCCCAAACAGGTAATGCAGGAGGGGTTTCCGTGGAAGTGCCGAAATCACGTTTCATCTCACATGGACTAATCAGGCAATATGTGTCGGTTGTTATTGAACCCGCCTGTGAGGATAATGCAGACCTGCAGCTGCATTATATTAAAGGTGGGCGTCGTAATGTAGGGATGGGCCAATGGTGCCATGCTAGAGTAATACTTCGACATAGCCGTTTATTACATTGCTGTCGAAGTACATAACGTAAAGCGAACTTTCTACAAAATTGTCTTGTATCCTGCAGCACAAGTTGATTGGCAGGTAAGAAGCCTTGGGTGGCCCTAACGCATCATTACATTGCTGCGTTTATGTATGTGTATGGGTGTGGTTGGGTGTGGGTGTTACATAGTCATGGGGTTGCGCATCCCGTACCTGCAAACTGCCCAATACGAGCCGAGGGCGCAAGGGCTGCCAGATCGCCTATATGCACCATCCTACCTCGCACTTCAGACAAAGCAAGTGATGAAGGAGACTAACGACCAAAGGGAACAATAGAGCTGCAGTCGGGCCACATGCGTGGATGCAACCCCATGCACATCAGACCTATCTGCCCTGGGAAACGCTGAATGCCAGCTTCGGGCGGACAGCACCTGCAGCGGCGGTAATCAAGTAATTTGGTGTCGACGAGCGCGGGGGGGGGGAACAGAAAAAGTCCTAGTGCACGGTTTGGACATTCCCCCAAACAGCCAGACGTGTTCTGCTGCGCGATGAGGGAGATGGCGGCATCCTCACTTTGGGCGGGATGCTGAGCTAGGAGATAAGTACGCTGATGTTTTCCATGAGATTCCGGGTATCGCTCCAGTTCGTCCCGTGGATCACGCAATTCCGTTGGTGCCTGATGCCCAACCTGTCGCACGCCCTATGTTCCCACTTAGCCCGCTTGAGCTTGATGAGGTCAAACGGCAGGTTACTGATCTGCTCGCTAAAGGCATGATTCATCCGAGTATGCTACTAGTTACAAGTGCCGCACGAGTGCGGGGAGGGTCCGTCAAAGCTGTGAGGCCATGGACTATATATTGAAAGTTGGTTATACCGTACAACCGACGGCGGTTTGGGTCCTGCCAACTAGACCCCTTCTCATCCAGTTACATGTGCAGGGTCAGATCAGACATCACCACCAATCAGCATGCGAAACTTACACCCTCGATTAGACCCCTGTTTCACACCATAGCAGTGATTTGTGATTCTAATTCTGTATCATGTATCATGTAGCGATAACTTCCGGCTGAAGTTTTTAGGGCATCAGAGTCGGAGCTCTTGCGTTGGCATGCGTGCGGCGCTTCCGAGACCCGACGCAAGTTGCCAAGGGCAGGCGCCGATATATTTGAGGATCCATTGCAATTAACTTTATTGGTTTACTGAGGAGGTAATGCTGCAAGCTAACGGCGTCTATGATTCCAAAATTCCGTAAGGATTATGCTGCATAATATGCAAGGAAGAGGACAATGCTGTGAATAGCTTTAAAGTAGAAAATTTCCGCTGAATTCAATTGAGCTGAATTGCAACGGATGGTATACAGCGCCAATAAAAACAATTGTTGAGCATCCGAGCGACGGTATGAGCCCCCTTAAATGGCATAGCAAAAAGCTTCAATTGAATTCAAATTATGATAGAAGTTCTTTGATACGGTGATTTTTGGACAAGCATCTCCAGTGCCCACCATTCGATCACGTACGGCAGCTGCTTCTAACTCCTACTCACGAAAACTAGAAGAACTGCGCTGCCAAATCCATATTTTAAATATATTTCATACATATTGGAAGACCTCTTCTAATCACATATCATCTCTCGTTGGCATAGCTGCTCTGTTGGTTCCTTGCAACGGTGACTGCGGATGAGCCAGTACCATTTCACAATGAATGTTTATTTCAACAAATAGTTCACACATCCACTCAACCTATCCCGCTGCAATTGAATTATAATTGGGTCATACGCGACCTGCACTTACTGCAGCTCCTGTGAGCCCATTGAGTCCTGGTACTCATATGGATTTTAGGGGAGGGTTTTAACGACAATCAGTACTACTTATTAGTCGTGAGGTCGCGATCCGTCCTACGAGTGCAGGCTAAGGTGAGGCAGGAGTGGCTGAAAGGTGGATGCGGCTTATTATCGGAATATTGAAGAAAGCCATGTCGTGAAAGCCCCTTGGATCTTCTGTGCTCACCTACTACGATCTTGCCTGTCCTCAAACCTGTCGCTTGCACGGCACGGTACTCATAGTGGTCGGAGCGTATGCCATTATGAATATTTTTTGCTGCAAATCAGTTGATGGCGTGTCAAAAAGGTAAACGCTTCATGCCTTTTCATACGTTAACGGCATCGACAACATCTTTTAGCTACGGTGGCCGTGAGCTTTCAAGTCGAGGATTATGAATCCTTCGTATACTTCCAAAAGCATTACTACTAAAGTACTGAGGGATGGTCCACTTGGTCCGTCGGCATCAGAGGCACTGGGTTGTCTCGCCAACCGTGCCGTATGCCGCCACTTGCAACATGAATACATCCTAAGGCGACCTCCTATAATTTTAATTATGTTAATCACTGTTCCTGCAATTTACTTTCTCAACCTACCTATGCACACCCCGTGCTATCCAGCAGAGCCGGCCCTTAAACCTTTGAGGCATTCCTGTTGTGATACGATTGGCAATAAAATTGCTTTGTTGAAATTCTAGTATTGCCTGTCAAGACGTGTTGAGGCGTGTAAGTCCTCTGGCTTCGGTGGCAGTAGCGCATAGCTTCCTTGCGGTGCGTGTGTTCGTAAGACTTCGTAAGCTGTTCGCAGAAGCGCTGCCGTGTGCGCACAATTCAATCGTCGCTATCCATGAAGGTGCTATGTCTGCATCCACCGTCCAAAGTACAAATTAGCCGATGAGCGTCTGTAGCTATCTTGGCGCATGGGGCCCTTCCGTAGCTGATCCAAAACCTGTCCTCAACCCCTCGCTCGCTGCAGGGCACCAAGGCGAGGCTAGCTCGCTTTACACGCCGATTTTCTCCAATCCTTTCAAGCCAGCACAGCCGATACCTAGCGGCCATACAGCGGCGAATTTTGGTGACGGCTTTGGCATTATTGTGTGCGCGCTGGTTCAACATTGGAATATTAAGCCTGCAGGAACAACCAAGTCAACGCAGGGATTCTTGCGGTGCACAGGTCGCTAGGCTGGCCACGGCCACTTGCAGCACGCTCGCTTCCGGTCGAGCGTGCGTGCGTGTGTGTATATGCTGGAGCGACACGCGCCATCGTATCGACACGTGCTAAATGGTGTTGTCCGAACACAGAATGGCCAGAGCTCCAGACCTAATCATGCAGCGTCTGCTGACTGTCTTGTTATCACTTACAGCCCTAGGCGGCCATGGAGGACCTTTCACCTCTTTTGCTACAGCAACGGCAACTGCGGATGATGATAAGCTCCCAAACGCGGGTCGCGAACTGGAGACAGCATTCTTCCTAATGAATCGTCGAGGGACGAATTCCGATGTCACCGCTTTGCTACAGTCTGAGGTCGGGAGAAACAGCGATGCCGGCAACAATACTGTTACAGCCGCCGCTGGTAGCGCCGGGATGGGCCGCAGCAAGAGGAGCAGTAGCTCTGGTAGCAGCCACAGCAGCAGCAGCAACAGCAACAGCGGCGGCAGCAGGAGCAGGACTAGCAGCAGGAGCAGTAGCTCTGGTAGCAGCAGAGGCGCTAATAGTGTCGCCGGCATAAAGACCATGCTTAGCGAAGCTTCTACTAAATACGTGACTACAGCTCGGGCAGGACCTGCAGCGGAGATGGCGGTGGAGGAGGGGGATGGGGAAGCAGGCGTGGCGTTAGATGCACAGCATAGGCGGCGACAGCTGCAGGACTTCAATTGCCCAGCACTAGGCAACACCGCAGAGTCTGTGAGTCTAGGGAGCCGCTGTCTGAAGGGGTTTGTTTCATGGGTACGGGTGGCTAGGCTGTTAGCCAGTGGCTAGTTTGCTGGTACTTCCGGTTCTTGGAGGCCAAAGATGAACCATCGTTGTGATTGGAAATGTGTAGTGCTGCCGGGATCCCTCCGTGCGTTTAAAAGCTCCCTTACGCCTCGCTATCGCTCAGCAGGCCGCCCTGCCGATGCTTTTCCTATTCACACACACCACCCGTGACAACGCCCCTACTGCTTTGCACTTGAGGGCACTTGAGGCACTTGAGGGCAGCAGATTAGGGTGGGTGGGTGAGATTAGAGCCAAGGTGGGAAGAGTCCGTTATTTTCATTAGGGCAGCCACTCAGTGGGTGCCACCCTAAAAAAACCCTTAACACCTTAAACGAGCGTCATCATCCCGCCCGCATGGCTGTGGGACCCACCTTTTTCCGCGCGCTGCTTTCCTTCATCACGCCGCCATCCCCAAACCATGCACTACTCGCCCGCCACTCCTTCCCCTGACCCTTTTCCAACCGCCGCAGTTTCTGGCATGCACGAACGCCGTTCGCACGAACCCCGACATGTTGGTGGGGCTTGTTCCAAGCAGTTGTTTCACAGCGAATATCAGCGTAGGTTTTGCGGCGAGGGGGGGTGTGGGACAACAATTGATGTTGGGTATCGTATGACCCTAATGCATGCGGTATTAGATTTTACATTTTTAACCCAGTACTAGCGCGGGACATCATTCAGGAGGTCTGTGTTACACCTAGACGTCAATAACGCTGCTACCATAGCCACCAGAATCCTGCCTCATGCATGTATACACCTACCCTCAACAGGCCTCACTCAAGAACCCCCAAAGACTGCCTTTGATCCCGAGCCCCGAGCTGCGCAACGTATCAAAGTTCCATAATGGCAAAATGATCGCGACCAATACGCTATCGTACCAGTAAGTCGTCCTCAATGTTAACCGTCCGGGGCGGGGCTTGCGACGGTTACATTGGGGGCCTTTTGATCTTTGCACCAATCACTGCGCGCAAGAGTACTGCGCGTTCGATAGTGTGATTATTTTTATCGTTAAGTTATCGTTGTGATACGCGAATTTAGCCGAGCTCGTCGCGCACGTGATATTACCACGGGGGGATTGCCAAGGTGTTGATGCCGCTTTCGCGTTATGCTATACCTGCGATGTCTCTCCGCCCTTGGTTTTAGATTCTTAATCATCCAGCGATTTACCCACATACCCTCCATCCCCTCAACTATGAACCGTTGAATGACTTGTTCAGGTTTCCAGGTGAGCCGAACATCGCAGAGCGCGCCGACGCGCTTGGTTACCTGTCCTACCGGATTTCAAGCAACATCGCACGGGGCCCGAAGACTGCCCGCGACGCTGTGCTGTTGTTATTCTGGTGCGTTCATGCCGCCTCCCGGGTCTCATGCGCGTGCATTCGTGCATGACCATATGCATGGACAGGAGAGTCGTGTATGTGCCTGAGTATACGCAAAAGTGAGCATGTGATCGTCCGTCTGTGAGTCCAACTACGGAAGGGTGAACGGCTTCGGCATTCATAAAAACATTTATCAGTTCCACTTCTAAAACATGCCGCCTGGCCTCTCGCAGTGATGCCCGCACCAGGACCGTCATGTTCGATTGCGGAGTCTCCGATATCGGTGTGGCTTCCGGCTCGGGCTTTTTTACGCAGGTACAGTGGTGCGGAAAGATTTAGATTGCTCGTAGTTAGCTTTTAAAACACCAGCACTTTCTCTCTCCCTCTCTCAGTCTCACACACACACAGCGTGTTCAGACAGACAGACAGGCAGACAGACAGGCAGACAGACAAACAGACGGACAGACACAGACCGACACAGACAGATAGACAGACAGACAGATAGACAGACAGATAGACAGACAGATAGACAGACAGATAGACAGACAGATAGACAGACAGATAGACAGACAGATAGACAGACAGATAGACAGACAGGTAGACAGACAGATAGACTGACAGATAGACAGACAGATAGACAGACAGATAGATAGACTGACAGGTAGACAGACAGATAGAATGACAGATAGACAGACAGACTGACAGATAGACTGACGGACCGACTGACGGACCGACTGACTGACTGGTTGACTGGCTGACAGGTGCGAAGGCTGGCGAAACTGTTCGTATAGTAACGCGTAGCTGACGATCAACGGCTGTATGTTATCCCTAATGTTTTCCGATTTCACGGCTGCAGGTATTTGGCTGCCGAGATGTCAACGGTTGCAACAGCTGCGCCTCGTCTCCACCATCGCTACCAACACCACAACCATCACTACCACTACCGCCACCTCCATCATCGACCACACCTCCACCCCAACCTCCGACGCCTCCTCCACATTTCCGCGCACTCGCCCCATCGCCACCAGCCCATGCCGCTCCAGTCGGCAAGCTTCGCCCCAACCGCCGCCACCCATGCCCCCTCCACGCTCGCCACCTTCGCCCCAACCGCCGCCACCACCCATGCCCCCTCCACACTCGCCACCTTCGCCCCAACCGCCGCCACCCATGCCTCCTCCACGCGCGCCACCTTCGCCCCAACCGCCACCACCCATGCCTCCTCCACACTCGCCACCTTCGCCCCAACCGCCGCCACCCATGCCCCCTCCACGCTCGCCACCTTCGCCCCAACCGCCGCCACCCATGCCCCCTCCACACTCGCCACCTTCGCCCCAACCGCCGCCACCCATGCCCCCTCCACGCTCGCCACCTTCGCCCCAACCGCCGCCACCCATGCCCCTCCACGCTCGCCACCTTCGCCCCAACCGCCGCCACCCATGCCCCCTCCACGCTCGCCACCTTCGCCCCAACCGCCGCCACCCATGCGCCCTCCACGCTCGCCACCTTCGCCCCAACCGCCGCCACCCATGCCCCCTCCACGCTCGCCTCCTTCGCCCCAACCGCCGCCACCTCATGCCCCTCCACGCTCGCCACCTTCGCCCCAACCGCCGCCACTATCCCCCCAACCAGTGCTACGCCAGCTGCCTTCCCCGTCAAGGCCACCGCGCTGGGCCCCTCCGCAGTCGCCGGTGACCGGATCACCGCTGTTCACTTGCTCTTCAACTGATGCCTCCACAGCCGCGGTAAGTTGCGCGGAGGTTAAGGGGGCCACCGTTTGCTATCATCGGCAAAATTATTGTGGACGTGCTTGGCTGCGTGGCCGAGCAACCCTGACAAGACCCATGCTGATATAAAACACTGACTGCCACCAGCGATAGATTAACCGCCGTCGAGGGCATTGCGCGTTCCTTATTCGCATCTTAATCAGGAGCAGTAGCCGTTGTGAATCAAAGGATGGGATGAAAAATGTGGAGAAGATGATGTTCAACTAACCACCCAAACCATACACAAGGCACAATCGCTACTCGCGCGGTGCATACTGTCCCAGAGCTTCACCATTGTATATCATTGCTTTTCCTTTGGTCAGGAAAATTAGCGTGGTTGTGTGTGTGTATGTGAGTGTGCCATAAGTGTGCCGCAGTTCGTACAGGGTCGGCTCGCGCGGTGTACTGGCAGTAGTACTACAGATGAGCGCTGTCATGCTGATGAGCATATGCATGCATGGATGGACTGGTGGTCCACGGAATCGAGCATAGACATGTTACTGCCACTCCAACAATTGCCGATTGTGGAATTTATCGCAGATCATTGAGTGCGTGAACTCCGTACGCATTAACCCCGCCCAGCTATCCGACCTGCCATGCTACGAGTCGGCCAAGGTAAGAAGACCTAGTACCTACAGCCATAATAAAAACATCAATGTGTCCAAGTGGTCCAGAAGCCTCCCACTCTGTAACAATAACAATAACAATAACAGTAATTAAAAATAAATAAATAAATAAATTACAATAATATCATTCGGCTGCCGGAAGTCATGGGCATCCGTATAGAAAGCTAGACTTAAAAATTATCTATATCCATTCCGTCAATTAATTAACGATCAAGGCTACCAGTCTAATGTGCATTCGGCCGCACCTAATGTAAATGTGGCAACACTAATTTGCCGCTACCGGTAGGCACGCCAGGTTATTATCAATAGTAGGGGGGATGTCGGCAATGTCCCACATCATGTCGGCAAACTTCCCCTGCTGGTACCAGTGCTAGTCCGGTACTTAGTTTACACCGAGCCTGTTGAAGAGGTATGCGTGCCGTTTAGGACCAGTCGGTATCCCAGGCCTGGCTAGGGCGGGCGAAGCGCGTCAGGCCACAGGAGCCCCCGCCCTGTAGGATTGCCCCCCGCCGTGTGGCCGACCAATACGGCCGTATTGCCGTATTGTTGCACCTATGCCGTATTGCCGCACTGCATTACCTATTAGTTTGAAATCCAATCCTTGGAGGTCGCTTAGCTCGCCTCGCTGGGTGCTGGGCTTGGTTGATCTTGCAGGCAAGCATCACCTCACCGGCGCGGCTTCCTCTCCGGACCAATGCTGCCCTCAGCGCTGCTGCGGCCTTTCACAACCGACTGATGGCCAACTACAGCACATTCTCCACAACGTGAGTTAGTTGCTCATCACCAAGGTTATTGAAACCCGGGGTCTTAATAATAAACAAAAACACCATTCTAAATTGTTCGCCGACATCCTTCCTGTTGTGCGTGTGCAAACAATTTTAGGCTTCAGCAGCGGCAAGTGACACGCCTCCTATCATGTCGCCGAAAAAAAAACATGCCAAAGTCAATCGTACGCCACTCTGGGCACCACATCACAACCGTGTGCGTCGTACCAATAATTTACCTAAACTATAACCATAAAAACCTCCACGCCCGGTAACCATAACTGTATTCATAACACCGAAACCGGATTTCTTCAGTAAATGCGGTTGCGGTAATAAAATAGCCCACCGAGGCACCCAATGCGCTAGCTACCTGCGTATGAATCCGAGCACCCTGACTGCCTGACGTCTCAAATGTATCATGGCGAGTAGAGTTGGCTTGGGTCCAGTGCTGGGTCCATTTTTTTTTGCTTCCAGTGCTTGGGTCCAGTGCTGCCGACAGCACCACCAGTGGTGGTATATTCGGATCCAATGTAATGTCCAATGTGCATTCGGTCCTCCCCCTCGTCGTAGGTTTCCTGGGGAGCCGCCCCTGGGGGATCGATTGGCAAACAGCGGCTACGTCTTCACGTTCGCCCTGGAGCAGTACGCGTACGGCATACAGAACGCACGTGATCTCGTACGTTGGTGGTTCTGGTAGGTGCAATAGATCCTATCCGCCTGCGTTCGTCGTCGCCGCTGCTGCTGCAGCAAATCCAGGCATACGATTACGAGTTTATAAGTCGCTTATGACAGGTAGAAAGTTAGGCGGGATCGTATCCTCCAATCCTCCGCTGCCACGATTTCATGGGTTAAGAACAAGCAACACCTTCCTCAATTTAGAAGCTAGGAATTTTTTTAAGGTCGGCTTAACAGCCTAGAATCCACGCCCTGTTAAGTGGTGCTTGCGGCATGCAGGCATTGATGCGGTCATGGTGCCCAAAAGTCGAAACACGCAGCGCACCTAACTAGGCTACAGTCCGTGTACGAATTGGAACTCGGATTGCGGTCACCGTTTCACGTGCCACGCGCGCGCGTTGTACGCATCAAATGGCTCGCAGGCGAGAACAAAACTTCACACGTAAAGTTATGGAATTTCTTGATGATTAGGATAGTCATGCTGCTTGTGTGTCCTTGTATGTCCTTTTCGACGGGACGGACATACAGCTCGCTCATCACCGAACCAATTTTTCCCATAACTTCTCCCCCTGTCATTTATCCATTTTGTCCAACCTAAAAATCACCTATGTATAGCTCTCAAAGCAACCGTGGCGTCATCTTCACTTGCGAGTTGGAGGACATCGGCGCGGCGTACGAGGCGGGATACGTCACGCAGGTAGGCGCTTGAAGAACTCTTTCATAGGTTCTAAGGGTCTTGATTTTCGTAGTGATTGTACATGTACATTCAAAGGTATCTGGCGCGTTGCGCCGTCTGGCGTTGCATTTTTGAGAAAATTCGATTGATTGATCCATTCAAATTTTACTTCGATGTCCTAAGTAGGCCATACAGGATGTCTCGAACACATAGATGCCACTCCAGTTTCGGGCGCACGTGGGCACTCGTGGCAAAAAATACGGCCATCTACTGCTGGCAATGAGGAAGATAATTTTAATGTTGATTTATCACACATCACCACACGCAAAGCTTCCAAAGCTTTTGCCATTGCGTTTTAAGGTTTTCTGGTAAAGAATAAAGAACTCGCTCTTCTGCGGTACGCCTGTGCGTGCATGCGTTTTGCTCCTGACAGACGCTAGGCTGCTCCGATGGCGCGTGTAACAGCTGCAGCGGGTCACTGCCGCCGCCATCACTGACACCAGTGGTGGCATCGCTACCGCCGCCGCCACTACCAGTGCTATCACTGTCTCCATCACGATTCCCGCCACCACCACCACCACCATCTCCCCCACCGCCATCACCGCCATCACCGCAACCACCGTTGCGACCGTCACCGCCACCCCCACCACCGCTGCCATCGCCCCCACCACTGCCGTCACCATCACCGCCGCCATCGCCACCACCACCTCCGTCACCATCACCACCTCCGTCACCCAAGCCGCCACACCTACCTCCCAGGGCTCCCCGATCCCCCCCACGGCTACCGGGCACTCCCCGCCCTGCACCCCGGCTTCCTCCCAGTCCTCGACCACCGTCACGAAGCCCTCCTGTCCCGCGTCCGCCGCCCAAATAGGTCGACAGTAACGACAACGCAGCCCAACGCCCGCAGTACGGCTGACTCGTAACACGATCTGTTAGTTGCGTTGGCCAAGCTTGAGTCTTCTGTTGCATATCTGTGCGTGTGCGGAATATATACGTACGTGGGGGCCCCGGCGCATACATGCACGTCGGGGACGCGGCTTGGCAGGGGGCTTCTAATGTGCAACCCGCACCATCAGGAGGGAGATGGAGATGGAGATGGAGATGGAGATGGAGATGGAGATGGAGATGGAGATGGAGATGGAGATGGAGATGGAGATGGAGATGGAGATGGAGATGGAGATGGAGATGGAGATGGAGATGGAGATGGAGATGGAGATGGAGATGGAGATGGAGATGGAGATGGAGATGGAGATGGAGATGGAGATGGAGATGGAGATGGAGATGGAGATGGAGATGGAGATGGAAGGAACGAACAAAGATGTTCATCTAGATGTTCATCTAGACATCTAGATAGGCGATGTGCCAACCCCCGTGAGAAGTCCGAGCTCCCCCGGTCGTGAAGTTCTCACGCCAATAAGACATTGAATGCAGATCTCTGCGTCATCACCATCAGTACCGTGCGCGTGCAGGGAAAAATATATACGGCTATTTTTTAACGACTCACCAACGTGATCAATTTCGTTTCGATCTTCCCTGGTGGCACACACGCACATAAGTACTTTTGTTAAGAATACTTTGTGCATATATGACAAACGAGCGCGTGATATGCATAATGATGATGACGACATTAAAGCGCAACGCACATACGAGTTGCGAAGGTAGCAACAGCAGCAGCGGCTCCGCAGAGGCTGGCTAACAATCCATGATGGAAACGTAATCTTTTTACCTGCATGGATCATGTTTCATTTATTTGCAGAAAGGGTTTTATCCGGGTCTATTATTATACATCTGTAAGCAATCAGCAACACATACCCTCAACCGAGTGTCTCCCATCTAGCTATTTTTATGTTTTATTTACCTGACGGGGATGCGGGTTCTGGCATGTACGAGCCCACTTAGTAAGTATCCCATACTCTTATCACCGATGACGCCCCAAAACCATCTGTGTCTATGTTTGTCTGTCTGTTTGTCTGTCTGTCTGTTTGCCTGTCTGTTTGCCTGTCTATCTGTTTGTCTGTCTATTTGTCTGTCTGTTTGTCTGTCTGTTTGTCTGTATGGTTATCCATGTGCAACTATTTCGCTAGATTTCCAAAGCGGTTAAATGGTGTATGATTCATCATTTATCTTACGTGTTTCATGCAATTAGGAAAGAGGAGGAGGGTAAACGGTCTGTTGATGTCTGCTGGTGTGTTAATCTGGTTGCTAGCGAACGAGCGGGGGAGGGAGCTGTGCGGATTGTTTGTCTGTATGCCTATGCGTGCACCGGGACAGGTATTGGCCGCTTGTTGATCACTAGGCGACCTGAAGGTGGCTGCGTGTACACATGCGCGTTACATTATTGCGCACGTTGGATTGCTTGCAAATCTCTTGCATGGCGATAATTACAACCTGACGGCAGTCGTACTGAGTACTAATTACAGGATATCACAAAGCCCAGCCAAAACCAACCGCAATTGCGAAAGGTTAACAAAGCCAAAAGTTTAAAAGCTTTGGACACGCACCCTCGCACACACACACCGATGTGTTTCCCTACCGGTGCTTCCCTTGTGACGCCACCAACGTAGGAAGGTGGACACGTCGTAAGTGTTTTGATCATTTGTTATAGACAGGGTCACCGTCTAATTGAGAGCTATCTTCTTTCGGATGTTTTTAGTACATTCTAAGGACGTTTACAGTTTGTGCTTTTCGTAAATTTGTATAGAAAACAGAACGGTTATAGAACATTCTTAAACGGCGGCTTTCAGTTTCGTAAGGTAGGACCAAGACATAGGGTGTCTATAGATTCGTTGCATAGAATGGTCTATATAGACTGTGCCATCTTCTAATCAATAGGCCTGAAAATACCGTAGTGCTACTTATAGTTCGTGATCGCTTTGTTCGGGGAGGGGTCAAAAAACTTTCTGAAATTTGTACGTGCTCTTTAAGCAGCCCCTCGCACAAATGTGAGCGGTCGTACTCTGCCGAATAAACGGTTCGTACATCGTCCAAAAAAGCCAGGAGCGAAATTTGCCGCGCGGATGCGCGCGTGGGATTCGCAAAATGCGCCTGTACAAGCGTATATAATTTCTTTGGCGAAGAAAGGACGAGGTGCGCCAGCGCGTTGCGCAGGTGGGCATGTTGGCCACAGCCGCACGCGGCATGCAGGCCGGAAATGTGGGTGGCTCCTGTGCCGCAATTAAAAGAACGAAAATCATACAACGTAGCTTGCAAAGCTTGGCTCAGGCAAGGCCGCAGGAAGAGGAAGCGTTGAGCGAAGCGACACTTTTGTGCAAGCAAACGGTCGCGTTTTTGGTAGCGCAACGTATACAGCACCTTGTTCAGAGTAAAGTCAAATTACAAAGTTGCGCAAAGTATAACATACATAAACTTATTTAAACATAAGAACAGATAAGACGTTTAGAGCCTTGTCGGTGACATGGACGCCGCTGTTGGCTTGGAACAGCTATTTGTTGTGCATAGGGACGTGCCCGCGTTAGCCGTGTTGCAACAGCTCAGGATGAATTTCAGCCAGCAACAGCCTCAAGAGCTGCTGCACAACCACCAGGAATGTCTTCAGTTGGGCACGTGTAGTTTTGGTCGGCGGGGTCGAGCATCGTACGCATTGCGCACAGAAACCAAGGTGCAGCGTCTCTGTAACATCGCCAACATATCCGGTACGCGGTGGCAGGCTTGCCGAGCACGAAATGAAGGGGGGGTCGCATCTCACCATTCAACTAAGCATGCATGTGCTCGGTTGAATGCTCGGTAGCGTGCGAGTTTACCCCTATCAGGATGTTTGTTTGCATATCCCTCCAAGCGAAAGGGCTTGGACCTATGCTGATGTTCGTTCCAAGAAGTGAACTGGGGACTGATGCTACGGTGAAAGGTATGCACGTAAATTCGCCCGTGCGCCAAACGCCCTGTAACTCGCTTACGCTAATCTCACATTCCAATATGCCACTGCACTTTCCTCTCCAGCCTGGCCACATTCTCTTCCTCGCAAACGTACTTGGGCACCTTACAATCCGACACCATACATGCTTTGGAAACGCGGGCAGCTGCTTCACAAGGACCCCCCTATTTAAGCAGCCCCTCGCACAAATGTGTCCGGTCGTACTTCGCGAATAAAAGGTCCGTACATCACGCCCCAAAAGCCAGGAGCGAATTTCACCGCGCGGATGGGCGCGTGCAATTCGCAAAATGCGCCTGTACAAGTGTATATAAATTTCTTGGCGGAAAAGACGAGGTGCGCCAGCGCGTTGCGCAGGTGGTCATGTTGGCCATAGTCGCACGCGGCATGCAGGCTGGACTATTGCGTGGCTGCTTTGCAGTAACTGAAAGCACCGAAAGCCTACGTCGTAGCTTGCAACACTGGGCTCGTGAAACTGCCGTGGAAGATGAAGCGCTGGCGAAGAGGCAGTTGTATGCAGCACCTTGTTCAGAGTAAAGTCAAATTACAAAGCTGCGCAAAGTATAACATACATAAACTTAATTAAACATAAGAACAGATAAGACGTTTAGAGCCTTGTCGGTGACATGGGCGCCGCTGTTGGCTTGGAACAGCTATTTGCTGTGCATAGGGACGTGCCCGCGTTAGCCGTGTTGCAACAGCTCAGGATGGATTTCAGCCAGCAACAGCCTCAAGAGCTGCTTCACAACCACCGGGAATGTCTTCAGTTGGGCACGTGTAGTTTTGGTCGGCGGGGTCGAGCAATGTATGCAATGCGCACAGAAACCAAGGTGCCAACATATCCGGTACGCGGTGGCAGGCTTGCCGAGCACGAAATGAAGGGGGGGTCGCATCTCACCATTCAATTAAGCATGCATGTGCTCGGTTGAATGCTCGGTAGCGTGCGAGTTTACCCCTATCAGGATGTTTGTTTGCATATCCCTCCAAGCGAGAGGGCTTGGACCTATGCTGATGTTCGTTCCAAGAAGTGAACTGAGGACTGATGCTACGGTGAAAGATTTGCACGTAAATTCACCCGTGCAATAAAACGCCCTGTAACTCGCATACGCTAATCTCACATTCCAATATGCCACTGCACTTTCCTCTCCAGCCTGGCCACATTCTCTTCCATGCAAACGTACTTGGGCACCTTACGTTCCAACACCATACATGCTTTGGAAACACGGGCAGCTGCTTCACAAGGACCCCCCTATTTGAATTTCGGGGAAGGCCGGACCAGATTTTGCGGGCATGATACAAATTTCGGGGCCCCTTCCAAAATTTCGGGGCTTTTCAAACTGCAGCTTCCAGTCAGTCTCCCTCCACCGGGAATCCTTAGGCTCATGGTCTCTCACCATTTTCGCACTTTGGAAACGCCCTAGCAAATTCTGGACCGATCGTACAGTTCAGTACCAGTGGCAACGACCTAATAACCAGCCGGCCGGGCCAACACAGTGTTTGGGTGGTTGCTACTGAAACGTGTCTTCATGTGGCTGAAACCCCGACGTAAAAGGCATTACGACTAGGGTACGCTAGGCTCGCGCCTAGCAACCTCCTCGTGCTCCATTCGCTCACGCTGGGCCTCGACAACAGCGTCATCAAGCCTAACTGGTGCAAATCCAGCTCGGTCGCTCACCGGAGCGTTTGGTGCTAGCGGTTTCATCCCGCATTGAAGCAGGGTTGCCTGTCTTGCACGTTTTCCAGCGTTGTTCATGTCCTACGTTTATGACTATATTTTATGTATGTAAGAGCTGATTTCCGCCTTGAAATCCTAGTTTTTGCGAAGTTTGATCGACCGGCTTCGGAGGGTACGATATTTCGGGGCTGCGGTCCCTTGGGATACCTTAGAATTTGTACGTGCCACATATTCGTAGTGCCTCCCGAATTATTGTAGCACGAACTATAAGTAGCACTACGGTAGATGACCTCTAGACAATCAAGAATCTCACAGACGCACTGCTGCACTACTGCTGAAGATAGGGAATAAATAACAATAATAATAATAATAATAATAATAATAATAATAATATACAAGGTTGTTTGCGTTAACATGTATGTCAGTATGTCATCACGCTCCGTCTTCCAGTTGGGCATCTAGGGAGAATATAGCTATTTCCCCTGTCATCAAAAGGTCACGGAGGTCTCGGGGGTCATCCACAACGGCAAGTAAGCCCTGGCTGCCTACCTCCTCATCTAGCTGCCTGTCTCTGCCTACCTACCTGCCTATCTAGCTGCTGTCTATCTGGCTGCTTCGCCGACTTCCTGCCCACTCCTACCCACCCCGTCCAATAAGCCCTCCACCTGCGCCTGCCGGCCTCACATGCGCGAGCACAGCATGCATGCCCCGTGCCTTCTCCACCTTCGCCTCACCCCTACCAGCATCACCATCACCAACTCCAACACCATCATGAGCCATTCACGTCTGCAGCACGAAGCGGGGCCCCAAGCCGTACTTGCCGTACGACAGCTTCACCAGCTTGCCCTGCGCCACTGCTCTGGTCAGGTACGTGGTCAGATGCTGTCGGGATATTTCCACTCCTTGGAGCCGAAGGAGGTGCTCTCCGATGGCCTTGGGGGTGTGGCATCGCTCCTGGGTGAGGCCGACAGGTAAGGAAACAGATCGACATATTGGCGGCTCTTAGGCCCATATACAACAGGTAACAGCAGCTACAGTGCGGCTATGGTTCCTGGGAGGGGTCCCAGGATCGATCCCGGCCATAAGCGAAAGTAATTGCACACTATCAATCGTTTTATACAGAGTAACCATCCCACACTACTGGACGGTCAGTGAGGAAATTTTATAGCAGAAAAATCAGCAAGATTATTAGATATAGAGTTGACGCCGACAAACATATCCAGCGAATGTTACTGTTGCTCAACCCATAACAAATTACAAACCCCCAGACCCATCGGTACGGGGACATGAATCGCCTCATCACTCATCTCATCCCCCACCACAAATGTCCAAACCAAAAGCGAACCAATCGATATGCTTACCTGTATTGCCTCAACCACGGCATCGAAGCTCAGTGCATTACGGTTGCTGCCACGCCGATCCGCCCGTAGCTCAAGTCCCGCCAGCTCCGCCAGCTGCTGCCGTACAGATACATCGGCGTGCCGTACGGATAGGGCATACACCAGGTCGTGCCGTCCCGCAGCCCGTAGCTCACTAAGGCGCGGCATCCGTGGCGGCGGTGTCGGCGGCGGCGCCGCCAGAGTGTCAGCTGCGCCACCGGCCGCAGCCGCGAATCCCAGGTGATGGTGATGGTGCCGCTGCGACGGCAGTGGCGCTGGCGTCGCCGCCGTCGCTGACTTCCTAGGACGGCCCCGACGGCTTCGAAGCGGTGTCGTACCAGCGGCGACGCCGGCGGAGGACGCCGCTCCAGCCGTGGCTCCTCTCCTCTTTCCCGGATCACCACCAACACCACCCACCGCGAGATCCGCCTCGGCCGCCTGTTCGCACACGTCAGTGGCGGCTGTTAGGCTGTCAGGTTGCGTGCCGTCCGTCCCGCCGCCGTCTCGTCCCTCTCCGATTCGGGAGCTGGCCGCCGACGCCGCCGCCGCGTCCCCTCGGCCGCCGCCAGCCGCCGTGGCGTCGATAGCATCCATAACCGGTACATCGCCGCCGCCGCCGCCGCCGCCGCTGCTGCTGCTGCTGCCGATGCCGTCTTGTCGCATCCCAACCGCCGGATCTTGAGAACGTGGTACGACAAGGTTGCTGCTCTGTACGGCAAGCGTCGCTGCCGCTGCGAACTGGTTCAGCTCCGCCGCCAAGGCACCCAGGTCATCCCATTGGCCGCGTGGCCGGCGGCGGCTGCTACCCGGGCGTGTACGGATGCCCAGCAGGTTCCGGAGCTCCTCGTGTCGGCGTACGGCATTCAGCAATGTGCCGTACCCTCCCTGTCGTAACTCACGTGATGTGGGCAGCACACCTGCGGCCCCAACCCGACAGGAACGCATTAAGACACCATTATTACAGCCATCATCACATAACCCAAAAGTCCATCAAACGACGCACATGCACCCACCATAAGCTGCTAAATGCTCTTACATAAAAAGAGTGATTCACTGAAATCCTTATTTAGGAACGAGAGAGTCCTACATGATACCATATAAAATAGAGCAAAAAGAACTCCACTAAAGAGCCGTCGCCGCGGCTGCAAGACGCACCGCGTCACGCCGCAGCTCACAAAACCGCGAGAGAAACTCGCAGAAGCGAGAGACCATAAATATCTACCGAGACACCAACAAGACACATCCTGGACGAAATTTACCGAATAAAGATTTAACAAATTGTATCAAAGGCCAGTTGTATAACACAGCCGCATTCAGCAATTGAAAAGTTTGCACCCAGCTTTACACCTCCTCTATCAGCCAGTTTTACACCTTTTCTATAATCTACATCTGCACCATGTAAGAGGCATCTTTTACTACAAACAATAGCATAGGTTACAAGTAACATGGCGCGAGGGAGAGGCCGTCGTGCTTTACTGGATAATAAAAACATATTTTGCGGAAATGGCAAAAAAAACGTTTAATGGGCTATTTAAAAGAGCAACAACAATGTCCGGCACACCTGGCGATAGCTGCAGCTCCTTGGCGACAGCGAATAGCTTCCGCCGTATCGCCGCCGTACTGTCGTACAGGTGTTTCGACGGTGCCCATGTTATTCGACGTCCCAGCCGGGACGCGACGTGCAGATAACCCCCGTGATACTCGATTGCGTTGTGGAGATCCAACCGCCGAGCTGCCGTATCACGGCATGTGTACGGGAGCAAATAATACAAGGGAATGTCATCCGGTTTACTTGTGGGACGCGTAAAGTGAACACGCGGACACGAATCGTGCGCTGGTGTGCAATCGTCGGACAATGCTTCTGCAGGCCGTGAAAAACTTTTGGGCTGCGAATTATAAACGTGCAGGTGTAGTCGTGATATATAGGGGCACCGTCATTCTCCGTACGAACGCGAGTGATATATACTTCAGAGGTCCGGGCTTCAGGGGTCTGTCATACGTACTCTCCCCTTACCCCTCACATCCCCCCACTCCCCACCTCCCCTGCAACACTCCCCACAACACTCTCCAACACCTTGTATCACCAAGCTCCGTGAGGGCATCACTCGGTCCGCAGCCGCCTCCGCCACCAGCCACCGTACACCGCCACCGCCGCCGCCAACACCGCCGCCGCCACCGCCGCCAACACCAACAACGCATCCCTCGACGTCCTCGTCATGGTCATTTCCCTGCTGCTGCTGATGATGATGATGATGATGGTGCTGCTCAGCGCCGCGACGCCCAGCCGACCCATGGGTCGCTCCCGACGAGGACGGAGAGGCGGAATCTGGTCGCCGCCCTAAGGAGGAGCAACTGCCGGGCAGAAGCTGCAGCGGAGGTGGACGGCGCCACGTGCTTCGGTGACTGACCTGACATCGTACTCACCCACCGGGGGTGCCAAACGGGGGGAACGGTCGTGTGTGTATTATGGTGGCGGGGGAGACGAGGGGTGAAACGGGTGCTAGGCGGCAGACGGGGCCAACTACCCAACGACCTCACAACTTCCAAACCCAAACAAAACCCCTAACCCAGCACTCCCCCCCCCCGCTCATCCGCGGCGCCTCGTAATCCCGTAATCCCATTTCCCGTCCCTTCCCTCCCCGTTTTCCCCCCCACCCCGCTTCCCCTTCCTCTCCTAACCCTACTTTCCTCTCCGCACGTGCACACGTGCATGTATAACACGTGCATACATACACGTGCATACATACTCTCGCGGCCCACAGTGTAATCTAAGTCATACATACATACATACATACATACATACATACATACATACAATTCATATATCCGTACCATACACACTCACCTGGTTATACCAGTACGTCTTCCCCGGGTATTCCGGGTGGGGTAGCTCCACCCAGCCCGCCGCCACGAAACCCGCCAACTCCTCCCCCAACCGTTCCCAACTGTCCGGACCCGACCAGTAGCCCCGGGGCCGCCGTGTGCTGCGGAGGCCGAGTTGGAGAGCTACCTGGGGCCGGGGGGGCAGAGGGCCGTGTGCGCGTTCGGCTACCGACACAAACCCTAGGGGGGCCACTCCAGGGGGGAGTGAAAAAGGGGGGGGGAGCGGGGGAAGAAGGGGTATGTGACACCACATACCCCGCCCCCTTTTCTTTCTTTTTCATCCCTCAGTAATCTTTCCCCCTTCTCCCCCTCCCCTCTCCCGTTGTGCCGCCTGGCCAAGTAAGTCCTTAGCGGTTCCTCCCCCTCCCCCTCCCCCTCCCCCCAAAACACACCTCTACGAATCCCCCCGCCTCCCCAATCAGCGCCACCAGGTCCTTCCTGCCAGCTGCCAGGAGCTGCTGACGTGTCGGCATAAAACCATGCCGTACACCTGGCTGTTGCTGCTGCGGCTGCTGCTGCTGTTGAGGCGGAGGTGGCCGCTGACTGAGCAGCGCTGGCGCACCCGTCGTCGCCGCTGCTGCCCCCGCCGTCGTCGCCGCTGCTGCTGCCCCCGCCGTCGTCACCGCTACTGTGGCCGACGGCACCGTTGATGTCGGCGGTGCCACCGCCGCCGCCGCCGGGTCTGACGGCGCCGGTGCCGTCGGGCGCTCCAGCTTGTCGTCGGCTCCCTGGAGCGCCCGGATGTGGTTTCGGAGCTCTCTGCCCAGAAGCTGTAGCAGCAAGCTTTTGCGACCTTGAGCCAGGAGAGCTGCACATACAACAGCAGTAGCAGCGGCAGTAGCAGCGGCGACGGCAGCGGGGCTTCACATCGGACAGGTCAAGAAAAGGCGTTGGCCCTGGCATGGGCCCTCGAATGCGGGCTCTCCTAGTTGGTTATGGGAAGCCGTACTCGTCGTACTGAAGGTCGTACCAGTGTACGGGACGTAAATGGGTGCTTACCCTCAAGGGCCCTCACACCCAACCCAGACCCTAGACTCCTCTCCCCCTTCCCCCCCTTCCTCCTGATTGGTTGTCAGACAACGACGATTACGACAACGGTAAAGTGGCAAAGTGGCAACGGTAACGGTAACGGCAGCAGCAGCGATGACGGCAATGGCAACGACAGCAACTACGAAATGACAACAACAACAACGACAACGATGGCAACGATAATAACAACTGCGACAGAATAAAAGAGCAAATCCCCTCACACGAACTGCTGCCGAGCTGCCTGCACTTAAGGAAATCCCTCCAACATATACATATACACATACACACGCACACACATACACATACACACGCACACAAACAAACACGTACGTACACACGCGTACACCCCGCCCACGCACACCGTCCAAAGAGCCCGACGCCCCTGACGCACCACTGAAACGCCAACAAGACATACAAACAGACGCACAGATACAACCGCCTCCTCTTCTCCCCCCCATCCCGGGCATCCCAGCAACACCCCCACAATCATCACAGTCAGTGGTATCCACACCTGTGCTGGCGGCGGTCGCTGACGCCATGATCAATGTACGATTGGCTATGTCAGCGTACGGCAGTACGTCTGGATCCAGACGTACGACGTACTCCTCGTTGCCGGCAAAGTCGTACTGTTGTACGATAGTGTGTCGTACTGTGCGCAACAATATACCCTGCCGCTCGGCCACGCCGTGGTCGTTGCGACCGTTATCGCTGTCACCACCTTCTGTGGCTGCCGTGGCGGCGGTGGCTGTAGCAAAAGGAGCGGCCACGGGAGCGGCCGGCTTGGGCATCGCTGTAGGGGCTGTAGCTGCGGCGGTAGCGGCTGCGCGGGCTGCTGCATTGTCGGGGCCACTGCGCCGGACTGCCAAAGGGAGCCCTGGCTCTATGTTAGGGAGCGCCATCTCCGCTGCCGGCGTTATCACCTCAACGACATGGCCCAAGCTCCGTCCCAAGCTGCCATACGCATTGCTGCTACCATGGATCGCGTCCTTGGCTGCTGCCAAAGAGCCTTTGTAGCGGCGACCTCGACGGCACGTTGCGCAATTGACGGCATTGTTTGCGGATGGGAGCAAGCGGAGCTCCCAGCCTATAAGCTGCCTCGTATCGTGTTGAAGCTTTGCAAGCGCTGTGGTTAGAGGCAATAAGACTGAAGGCGCAGGACGTTGTTGTGCCGCTGCCGATTGCGGAGTGGCGGTTTGATGTTCGTTGAGGGCTGCACGCTCTGTGCTCCTCGCCGTGCTTGCATCCTTGATATTCTGGTAAGGAGAAAGAGAAGTCCTTACTTTTCTTATGTAACGGGCTGCACAGCTTGGCCGTCGTTGCACTAGCCAAACTCCCTTGTACGAAGAGAACATGCGAACCAACTGAACTACTTTTCTACCATCAACGTTCTATATTTAGTGAGCCAACGATTATGTTGAGCTATAAGCACGGTACACAGAAGTCTGCATCTTCCGCCGGCTGCACGCCGAGTCAATTTATTCCACAACTTGCACGGCCAATAATCGCCGGTAGTTGATTAGTATTAGAAAGAGCCTTGTAGACGGGTTTTCCTAGTTGCATGCTGTCTTGGAAATGCCAACTTGCACGGCGTCGGTACGGCAGCCCCTAGGGCTGCAACGAATGAAACGACCTCTAGAAACCAGATACTATATTCTTGGTATGGAACCAATTACAGACCAGGCGTGAATCATCAAAATTCGTACTCACGGCAGCACAGATCAAGGAGTCAAATTATCCCATAGACGTTGGTGTGTCTCATGCCTACATCAGAATCGTACGCCCCACTCGGAGGGGTCTCCGCGAGACGAAATGTTTGACGCACACACTTACTGTCATTTATAACATTCAACGCACACGCACACGCACACCCATAAGTCTTCCTCGCAACTCCCTCAACTTACGCTCTCATGCAAAGATAAGGTCCTTGGAGCTCGTGTCCTGACACGTCACTGCCCATACCCGCCACTCCGCAGGCGTGCAAACTCTTATAATTTAGGACCTTTGTAGGTACGCTGTTTCTTGTTTCTTGGGTTGCCATCAGAATCAATCTGAGCAAAAGGCTTCGCAGTCCTTCACGTGCTGACCGAGCCTCCTTTGCTGGGTGCCACATGGCGGTTCCCAGAATCCTGTGACCAAGGCTGTGCTTTGTGCCTTTCCTTATGAACTATTACTATTATGTTTAACGATTGCATGCCGACGGATGCACTACAGAGTTTGAAGGGTCTTCGAATTACTGTGTGGGGCTCGAACCCACCCACCCACCCATGCCGTACAGCCAATTTTCGGGAGACCATAACTCTTCTGCCGTACAAAACAAAGTATAAATTGCTAAGAGCAGCTCTCGTGCCCAGGTCTGTACAAGTATTTTATCCTATAAAGAAATGCTTTTTTACGTACTTTGAGTTGTGCGTGTTCTGCCTTTTTGTGTGCAAAGGCCATTTGGGTCGCCGTCGGTCTTGAAGTCAGAACAGTACGGCGGCAAGTTGTATGAGCTGCCTATGGGTTCGCAGATAGGCACTGGTTAGCTGGCGAGTGAACGGCGGATGATATAATGATGATGGTGATGATGGCGATGAAAAGCGCGCACTATTTTCGACATGGGTTTGAACCGGGGGCGATACATGTCGGCCTAGGCCGTGTAGGGCCGCGTCTAGGTAGGTTCAAGCAGCATAACCTTATGGTGGTCTGGCCGGGGCCTTTGTGATATGTGATTTATATTTTCATTCATCTCGGCGCATGGACACGCCGGTAACTGCTGCGCGCCCTTGAGCTGCCGCCCTCTCCCGCCAGCTACCTAGTGGCTGAGGCAGGTCGTGCACATTTCTGACAAAAGCGCTTTCCCTGGCAGAGCACCCTGCGCGCCTGGAAGGGGCTTAGGGGTTTGTTTCCGCGACTAGGATTTACGTCGCGGATTAACCCTCTGTCCTCCACCGATACCTGCGCAAATGGCTAAGTTGTTAGCAACTTATCTCGCCTTCACAACCTTTGATCCCCATATTGACCGAAATTATGTGGTGTAAGCTCCAACCAAGGACTTCCGTGCCCTAATCCGTGACGTTAATACTAAGTGGAAAGATCCCCTGAACCCGTTGGGATGCTTTGGCAATCTGCCGAAATCAGTAGCATCAATCTGAGCTGCTAGATTTGTCCGCGGCGGTGTCTCAGGCAGCTGCCTGAGACGAACGATACGCCATAAAAAGGTGGGAGGTGGGCGGAAATGGCCTTGGTGTAAATCTAGGTGTACTGCTATAATCTTAAGGATTGTTATTTCTAAACATGAGGAAATTAGGTAACGATTGCCTAGTAATTGTCAAGTCCGTCGTTCTTTGGCGTTCCAGGACGAGCTCGGATGGCGCCGCGGCACGGTTCCAGGCGGCTTTTAGTTGACTTAGTGCTCATAAAGAAAACACATTATGAGACATATAATATTTTCTATAACGGGAAGGCAGATATTCTACAACAGCTCCGCGTCGTTTTTCGCCCAAGCCAAAGAGTGAACCTCGATGTGAGGTTGAAGGCGTGCATATATCGATGTGACGGATAGCCCTTAAGATTTGTTATATAGCAGCTCCTCTGGTTTCGTCCTTGGTGTGCTTGCGCGAGGCATGTGCTCTTCATTCGCTTGCCTTTCGGTCCAGCAATTAGATATGCCATGCATATGTTATTGATATAAACTTATCCTGTGTCAAAAACTATGCCCTAATTGGAATGTTACGCTCGTTTCGTATAGCTACAATCATCGGAAGTTTTTATGATCCCGCTACACTGCCGGCAGCTTATCCACGTGCGCATGTTAAAGAACTCCAGGATGGACTGATGGATAATGCCTTTCAACAAGGGCAAATACTCCAAGGACAAAAGAGAACCATCCCACCCTCTTTTTTGATCGAGGCTGCGAAACGATGACTACAAGTAAGGTAGATGGCGTCAAGTAAAAATTGAGTTAGGTAAGCTCGAAGGCTAAACTTAGTAACTCCTATACACATCTATCTGTAAATGTTGTGTTCGGATCCATCGGCAACAAAGTGCAAAGGCATCGAATGAATCTTTAGGCCTGTTATGTAAACCATCAGTTCTCAGCACTGTAACAGCCACACACACAGCACTTGTAAGCAAAAAATCTTTCAGGAATTTGTTTGCTCAAGTAAATCAGAAGATTTTGCGCAGCAACACAGTCCAGGCACACAGGTATACGAACTTTATTGCGGCCATCAAAACATTTGCGTAATGGATGGATGCTGATATTTCACAATGAGATACGAATTAGTCGCTTTAATAGCTCCAGGACTGGCATTTCGTTCTGAGTCATTGTACGGCAACCAGGCATTGATGCTACTTAAAGGCGTTAGATGAGACGCGCTTTTCATGTAAAATAAGTTCTTGTTCATACATTGGAAGGTAGATTCTTAGCCGTTGGGGGAGTTCTAGTGCTGCTAGGAGCAACCAGTAACCATGGTGCCGACGAGTACCTGGCACGGTTGCTTCTGCGGGAAAGGTAAGCCCTCTCCTGAAAAAACAATACTCTAACCTTGGCGCTTGTACTGCGCCGGCTATCCACATCCCACATTCGCCTAACGCTCTCCTGCTGCTTTCGCTGGGACCCCACTTCGATAGGTCAAAGCCTATCCAAGGCGTGTAGACTGGGCTTAGCGCTCATCGCCATATCCCTCTTTTACTTATCAAGGACGGCGACCGCGCAAGGTAGGACAAACTTTTGTCTCGGAAGCTCGGCTGTCCGAAATGACGCGCGACGCACAGAAATGCAGCAGCAACTATCCGCCGCACACAACGATGGAGGCATTTGTGATAAGCTTCACTTCATATATTCATGTGTTGAAGTCCATGGGCGCTGACTTCCTTAAGCGGTTCGTTTCGGGTTCCGCTATATTCTGAGCTTGGAAGGGCACTGAACGGCTTCGGGCCTGCTTTCCCTTGCTGAAACTAGAAAAACGTAATCATTGCAATTGATGTTACTGCTATCTTGTTTGTTACATGTATGTTAAATGAGCTTTTGGTAGCTCACATCTGCGTCTTTGCCCGTCAGCAGGTTGTCCACAAGTGTTAGGTTACCAGTTTTACGTTCAACGGGAAGTGGCCAACGCATATAAGAACTGGACTGCGCCGTCACCGTTCACAGTGACATCGCTTTCGGCCACCTGCAATGCGACGGCGCGTTGCACCGCCTTCAACACGCGAGGCATGCTTATGACGGCCCCAATGCGGCCCGCCTTTTCATACTTGGATAACACCAAAGCTGGTCCTTGCGACGGCGTCTACATCTCCAACCGCACGATCACAGGGCTTCTCCTTCCGGTGCGTTATGGGCCGTGGGCTATGGGCTGGCTGCGATTAGTCGACTGGCAAGGAGCCGCCGGTTGCCAGCACAGTCAGACAACAAACGACCTGCCTGTCGCAGATTTAGATGTGTGCGTGCAAACGCATAAGAGCCGCTCGCCCGCCTTTCATCCCGACTATGCCTCCCTTCTCCCTTCTCCCTTCTCGTGACCCGAGCGTGTCCATTGTGGATATGTAGTACTTCTGCCGCAGCTTGACCATCCCGCGACATGTATAAGTATGTATATGTACATGTACGGCACCGTCCGACTTCTTCCTGGGTTCTTTCCGTACCTACGGCACGACAGAGCTGCTTACGTGTATCGTTGACTTTTTGTCAACCTTTTTGTCACCCTCAACAAACACATTGACAACTTATTGACTTGACCCAGCGCCCATTCTAAATTGCTCGTCGACTGACACACATGTCTTTCACATTGAACGGAACGCATTGCAGCCCAACACCGTGGAGGATTTGCGCCAGGAAGCCAAAATCATCGACATGGTGGCCGCGTCGACTGCAGCCATGAGAGTGAGTCATCAGACCGTTTCGCGCGAGCATGTCTCAAAAATACATTAAATATATGTTGTCAACATACTTCGGCAGCAGCGCGAGGACCTAGTTGGCTCGCATGCTTATGCAGGTGGCATGCCACGCCCGCCACATGCGGATGCCGTATGTTTGGGAAACTAAAACTAGTTTCAGGGAAACTTAACTTTCTGGGAGCTGACTGCAGATACAGAAATTCCGATCATGATTTTGAGCTAATGTAACTAATGCCGACGGAAGCAAGCAGCGCACACGAAGACGCCGCCTGAAGGCTAAGAAACCTTCATTTAAAGATCGGAAGCCGACATCCGCGGCCCGCCGTCGCTCTGGGAACTGCGAGGTTGGGAGCCACAACCTTGTCCAAGTTAGTTCGTTAGACTTCTGTTAACATAACGCGACCTTTTTGAAAGATTTTCTCGCATGATAAATGCTTGCAGGGAAGTCCCAGGAAATGGAGGACCTCGCATAGTATAGCGCCTCTTTGAAAGGTCGCACAATATACTGCACATAAAATAAACTGTTATTGAGAAATCTTACTTATTGCTGGTGGAATTTTTCCCTCGGACGGGCTTCTGTGTTCGGGTTCTCAAACGGAAGACCGCCGTCAAAACGTTTTCTCGATGAATTAATTGACTGAATGTCCGCTTCCACCATGCGCCTCGCTCTCGCGCGGAGGAGGCAGGGCGCGAATGTTTTACGAGCCGGCGGCCTCCTTTCCGCTCTGAGTCCACACAGTCCACTCACACCGCCAAAGCGAGCTTGCTCGCCCTCTCATCAGACTAAGTAAACCACCCCCTTTCACCCTCTTTCACCCAAAGAACCAAGCCTACTAACTGATCGTCTCCAAGGGTCGCCTCCAAATAACGCGTGTTCCCAAAACAATGTTACCTCAGAGCTACAACCAATTTCGGCCATGCAACTATCTAAAAGCTTTTCATCCATCTTATCCATCTGTTCATTCATCCGTTTTGCTGTGACGGGGCGTTGTTCCTGCTGCACTCGGCACGTAGGTTGCTGCCCAGTTGAAGACTGCAAAGGTGCCGATTACCGCGGCCACCATCAAGACTCCAACTTCGCAAGTCACCGCCGCGTTTGCGGCTGTGCAGGTGCGCCGCGTTCGTGCGGTTCGGTCCTGGCCATGTTTGATCCGTTCGTGTGAACGTGTCCGCAATACCCGCATGCCCATCCATCTAAACCACATGCATGCATCTACATGCCATCTGCATGCGCGTAGGATCATGTTATGTAAATTATGCATGCATGCATGCATGCATGCACGAGTCTGTGTAATAGTTATGTACGCGAATACGTGTGCACGAACGCTTCGCATAACGATAATTTTTGGTCAATGGGAGAGAGGCGGGTCCTCATAAATAATATCTAGCGGAATATTGGACGTTATGATTCCAGATATTGATGCGAAGAGACGAACGAACTATATAATACGTACAATAACGTGCTGTCCGTACGGAACACACCATATACGTTCTTGAACCTGCTCGTAGCTATGTTCGAATATATGTTGGTATATATGTTCGTATGTATGTCCTCGAACCTGCTCGTGTGTTTGTATGTATGCATGCATATACGCAGACACCGCTGGCCCAAGTGAGCAACGTTACCGGCAACTACACCTATGCCGCGGTGGCAACTGCCATTCTGTATCCCACCTGGGATTCCCGGTCAGCCAACGGCACCAATAACAATTTAATTTCGCCTGTTAAAGATCAGGGAAGCTGCGGCAGCTGCGTCTCCTTCGCGGCAACGGCTGGCGCAGAGGCAGCGGTGGCAACTGCACTGAAGTCCGCCTCCAACTCCAACGACTTTTCAGAGCAATGGTACGATTATTACTTCCGTTTGCACGCGTGCCTACGTACGAACTATTGTACGAATGTATCATGAGATGACAGACACTGACATGCAAATGCGTATACCCCCTGATCTATCCACCCGATTCCCTATCCACCCGATTCCCCACCGACCGACAGTCATACCGACATACATACATCTACACGTGTGCCGCCTTCCCTCATGCTGGCTCCCTCGCTCGTGTGCACAGGTTGTTTTTTTGCAATGGTCTCTACAACCCGACTTGTGACACAGGTTGGACCGCAGACGAGGCCGCCGACGTGCTCGCAAAGTTTAGCATTCCCCAAGAGACCAACTACCCGTACAAGGGCACCAAGACCTGCGTCCTCAACGCCAAGCCCGAGTCTCGGCCAGCCGGCAGGTTCCAGTATATAAGCATCACTAACTTGGACACGGTAGGTGTGTGTGGGTGTGGGTGTG